TATGACAAAATTTCAGATGCTGTCAATGAGAAATGGGTTGACTTTGCATCCTATGTGCTTTCCAGAAGGCTTACAGCCACTGCAGTTATCTCAGATGGGCATGGAACTGAGTGAAAGAAACAGGTCTACCCCTTTAAACATGACAGCTACTCTGCCTCTCCACCAAGAGAACCCCTTGCACTACACATCCAATCTACCTAGCAAACACATTCTGCCAAATCAGCCATCTGCACCATATCCTTCATTTATTAACAACCCAGAAACTTCTTTTGGGCTGGAATCCCGAATCCAACCAGAAACAAAACCTCTTCAACACAAAGGAGGACCTTCTGGGGTAAGCTCATCAACTTTTTAGTATGTGAAATGTTGTTAAAAGCATTAGTCATTGTAATTACATGTTTCCCTTGAATTGTAAAGCCAATACGCGGGGAAGACATTTTGCATTACCAGCAACCAAGTGCTATCCATTCAGATGCTAATACATTAGGTAGTTCTCAAGGTATTTGCAATTTAGATTTACTACAGAATAAACTAAATATTCCATCACTATGCTATATATATACACACACACAGTATCTCATGCTCAAATAATATGTTTTTGGAAACCCCAGTTGTGAAAGAATTCGAGTCAGGCACAACAGTATCACTCTCCTTTGACACGCAAACATGCGAACCATGCATTGGCCGAAGAGAACAGTCAGGAGTGATCATAAGAAATAGTGAGGCCAACATTGTTGTTACATCGCAGTTAAGTAGGTAACTGGTATAGCGCTAGGTATATGATGATGCTTAATGATATATGCATATGGCATATGTGACGATATGTATGTATGTTGATGCATGCGACAATATGTGTTGAAAAGCTTTTCAGCACACGAGACTGCAATGCAGTGCAGAGAGAAAAAGGTGGTGGCAGTGGGAACTCGAAGACCGAGATTTTTGAAGTTTACAAGTTTAGTCTTGCAATGCTTTTTGAATTTTGGTTTCCCCGTAAAAGTAGGAATACCGATCCTTTGAGTTGAGCATTTTGTAATGTTCTCAAAAAGCCTATGGCTCTGGCCTACGTGACATACACAAATTATTTGTAGCTTCTCGAATTGTTACATTTGCAATGTATAATATTACTATTATTATTGTATGTTCAAAAAACAGCCACTAGTTGTACGGAGTATCTATAAACTCATGACCGTGAAATATCCTCCTATGATGATTTCATTGGAGACTTCTATTTGACCCATATGTTCGTATTCGTATTTCCCTGAAGAGGTTTCAGCGTTTTACTCGATATTGTTTGCCATGAAAACCATTGTCCCAAACGGAGGTGAAAGGCTGACTATAAATTCTTAAGGGTTTTCAAAGGGATACACGGCAGAGATTCAACATGAGTTGTGAATAAATCCATATAAAAGATCAGAAAATCTCTTAGAATTTAAAATCTAAAGACAACAGATTTGTATTTGATGAAAAGGAGATGATATTAGAGATGAGGTGGTTGGAGGACAGCAATGGTGAAGAATCTGACAATGGGTAAAATGGCATTGATATTGTCGGTCTGGTGAAGGAGAAATCAAATACAAATATATTATTATTAGAGACAGGCTTTGGATACTATATTTGGCCACCAAAAATTTATCTTCATGGATAAGATCTCTTCCCATATAGTCAATGATAAAGACAATTTATATATTTTCATTCCTTAATTCTATAATATATGTTTTTAAGTTGTGACAGAACTATCAAATTAAGGATTCACCTTAATACTAATATTTTAATAAAAGACGCTGTCTTAAGAGATTTACGAAAATGTTAACACGACCATATAATTAAGGAATTTTCGATCACTGCGAGTTCTTTCTTTTTCACAGAAAAGTAATTTGTATGCTTTTAAGTGCAGCCCATTTCGTTTCCCTGCACCTACTATTCATGCGCGGTGCAATTAGCACATTTATGTATGTATAAGTGTACTGTGCATACTTTTACTTGCTTAGAATGAAAAATGATTTTCTCAAGGAAGGAATTGTTTTTGAAACTGTATATAAATATATCAGAAAAAATATGTATTTATCATTAAAGTAGTGAAACTTACATGTCTTTATAATTTCAAATCATATAATTAATTGGGTTGATTAAAATTGTTAATTAATATAGAGAAAGATCACTCAAAGGTTAACCTCATAATAATATCAAGGATTTGCATACTTGATGAGTGTGTATATTCGTATATATAATGTGTTACTTGTATGATTATCACTCATTAAATTGTATTTATTTTGTATAATTATTATTATGGGCACCTAGTTATTTATCACCGAAGGTCCATTTAGATTTTGTTTTATTGAATTTTATATAGTTTCAATCTTGTATGTTTTTTCAAAGTATGGATGTATGATTTTGTTTCACTGCATGCAACTATGCTTTGTTTTAGTCAACTATGTCGTTAAGTTCAATAGTTTAAATTGTAGTTATAGATTTAGCAATGTGTACCGGGCTGTAATAGACAAAAATATCTGTATATATCATGGATTCTAAGTTTTAAGGTTAAGGGTATTTTAATAATTTTCATTATCAAAACAAAAAAAAAAACACCAAACCCTTACTCACATCTCTCATTCCTCTCAACCCTCTCTCCTTCTTACTCACCTCTCTCATTCCTCTCAACCATCTCTCCTTTGTCTCTCTTACTCCAACCTTTTCTTTGTCATCCTTACCGGGACTTAATTTAAAAATGAAATTTAATAATAAAGAAGGGAAAATATATAACAGAGTCCTCCAATCAAAAATCAACATCAACATCATCAATTATTTTGTTATTAAAGTGGAAAACAAATGAACGAACAGAACAAAAATAACAAATTGTGGTGTCGCGGGTTGTTGTGTGTGGGTGAGGGAGAGTATGGAGATGAGAGAGAAACAAATTGAATAAGTGAGGAAGGTTGATTAGGGTTAGGCAAGTGTTTCTGATTTTTTCAATTGGGGCTATAGTAAGGATGACAGAAAAAATGTTGGAGTGAAAGAAATGAAAGAGAAAGGGTTGAAAGGAATAAGAGACATGAGTAAGGATTTGGGGGTTTCTTTTTTCTTTTTAGAATGAAAATTATTAAAATACCCTTAACCTTAAAACTTAGAATCCATGAACGGTATTTTTGTCTACTAAAATCCGGTACACATTAATACTAAAATGTAACAACTGAAAAATAGGCGTAAACACATTAGCAAATTCCATATATATATATATATATATATATATATATATATATATATATATATATATATTAGTATTGTTTGTATTGTTTTATGCTTAGAAATTTAATAATAGTTAGATTTCACCATTTATGAAAAAGTTCACATATAGTATACATTATTGTTTTTGTGAAATGATACAACATATATTTGAAATTGCGTAATGGACATACCATATACCATTAAATACATTTATTTAATATCAATTAGATGTTTTGTGATTTACTAAGGGAGCTAAGTCTCTGATGCCTAACAACTTCCATAATCTAATCATTTTTATTCAATTAAGGATGGTAATTTGATAATTTAAATGTACACATTTTTATAGTTAAATAGTAAACCTTAAAATTTTCACACAGCGAACAATAACATGTTAAATCATTTTAATCTAATATTTACTTATGTAATTATAAAATGACTTTAATAAAAAATGTCTAATATAAGGATGATTAAGTATAAGATTATATTATACTTGTTCATCGTTATTATGAAGTTAATAAAATATTTCTTCTTCTTCTAATTATAATAAGGACAACTTTTGTCCTAAAGGAATCAAAGACAATTTTTCACAAAAATGTGATTTAAAAAAGAGGCAACTCATTTCTATTGTCAACATTACCTCAATTCTTACTCATAAAAAAATAGAGAAAAAATAGAAAAGAAACAAATTTTCATAAGAATTTCCTTACCATCCAGATAAGAAAAAAAAAGGCAAAGGAAAAGAATATTTTCAAAATTACTTATTTTAAATTTTTCTAAAATGTGTTATTAATCCAAATAAACATCTTATTTATTTTATGAAGAACAAATTATCTAACATTGTTGTAGAGTAGTAGTTCATGACTGTTAAATCTTAATAATTACACGATCCAAGAATCTATGCTTACAAAATCCACCCACGTAACATGTAAGTTGAGATTCGAAGTCGTTTAAGATAGAACAGGATACTCTCACTCTCACCAAACTAGCAGACCCATTGGCCTCTTTCTATATTCACTTTCAACTTTTGTCATAGTAAGCATCCATATATACAAATCAAACTAATTAATATCCGTGGACCCTATTAGACCATGTTGGGTTGCTAAGAATTATGTCCACCCAACAACGATTAACTTACCTAATCCAATTATAATTTCCCCATGCATCTTAAATGTTGCAACAATTTTAATTAAAACGCCAATAACTCCAATAAACACTTAAAAATTAGCACAACAACAACACTTACACACCAATACATTTTTCTGGACTCAAAATTTTAGATTAAAGAATCGTGAATAGAAAAACTGGCTAAAGCTAATAAATCATTAGTAAAACTCACATACACTTCACATTTATAAGACTAATTTGTTGACTCGCAATCATTATTTGCACCGTTGATATAAAGCATCTATGAGTGTGTTACTCAAAAGTTAAAGTGAGTATTTATTTTATCCGGAAAAGTATAGGTGATTTTAACTGGCACGAGATTTTCTGAAAACGGAGTTCATTTGGTTAAAGTAGTATTTAAAAGCCACTTTTCTACTATATGGTATTTGTTAATTATATATATATAGAATTAATATTGAATAAAAGAATTACTTAGAGTATGCAAAAACTAAAGGGATGGAAAAAGCAGTGAATAGAATGGAGTGGAGTTGAGTGACAGTGAGAATTGTTGAACGACACACACGTAGCAGTCTCCGAGTAAGTGCGTAGTTCCCACACACCACACAGAGACAGAACAAAACAAAACACAGTGACAACACTGCAATTGATTGCATCCAGCATCCTGCGTTTTCTCTGGGTCCCACCATGCCAGCTACCACTGCCTCCATTCCTCACCCCTCTCCTTTCTTCTTCTTCTCCTTCTTCTGCTTCTTCTTATTGTACTTTTTTTCACTATCTAGTTTCGTCTTCGCTGGAGGGAGGAAGGAATGAACGAATGAATGAACAGCAATGCCCGATCAGTCGAGCGGCGCCGCAATGAACGACCAGCTCTCCAACCCCACCTCCATATTTGGTCTCCGTCTCTGGGTGGTGCTCGGCGTGTGTGTCGGCGCCGCCATCGTCCTCATCCTCTTCCTTATCTCCGTCTGGGTGGCCTTCAAGCGCTCCAAAGCCAACCCCGTTTCCATCCCCGACGTCTCCAAGGAGATCCAAGAAATAAGGGTCGACCACGCCCCCACCCCCAACCCGACCCACCAACCCGACCCTTTTCCCGAACCTGACCCAGTTCCGCCCACCGAGGAAGAAACCAACCCTCTCAGCTACCAGAGAATCCAGTTCGAGATTGGGAAGAACCACCGAATCTCCTACCCCGAACGTGCCTTGCTTCGCTCATCTTCCAACGACCCCGCCGGTGCTGAGCCTCGCCTCCTCGATCAGGTTCCCACCGTCATTCCCGAAGTTTCTCACTTGGGCTGGGGCCACTGGTACACTCTCCGAGAGCTTGAGGATTCCACCAACGCCTTCGCCCCTGAGAATGTTATTGGCGAAGGAGGTTATGGAATTGTTTACCACGGTATCTTGAACGACAATACTCATGTTGCCATCAAGAACTTGCTCAATAATAGGTCCTTTCCTTTCCTTTCCTTTTTTTAGCAATCCTCCTTTGCATCGTCGACCTAATAATAAGATTGATAATCGCAGGGGGCAAGCTGAGAAGGAATTTAAGGTTGAAGTGGAAGCTATAGGACGGGTTCGCCACAAGAATTTAGTCAGGTTGCTTGGTTATTGTGCTGAAGGAGCTCATAGGTATTCTTTTCTCTTCATTTTTCAGCTTCCTCCTTAATTCACCACCACTGTTTTCCCTTTTTTGTCCTTGTTCCTGTGCGATAATTATGAAGTGACAATTTTTTTTCCCTCCCAGAATGCTTGTTTATGAGTATGTCGACAATGGTAACTTGGAGCAGTGGCTACATGGGGATGTTGGGCCTTACAGTCCTCTAACATGGGAAATTCGGATGAACATTATTCTGGGAACGGCTAAAGGGTAAACAGCAAAATTCCTTCTTTTCAAATATCTTCCATTATTATCCGTCGGCGAAAATGCATTTCCGTGTTATAACTGTTTGTTTTTCATCAGGCTAACTTATTTACATGAGGGGTTGGAACCAAAAGTTGTTCATCGTGATATTAAATCAAGCAACATTTTGCTCAGTAAGCAGTGGAATGCAAAGGTGTCAGACTTTGGCCTCGCCAAACTCCTTGGCTCTGACAACAGTTATATCACCACCCGTGTCATGGGTACTTTTGGGTTAGTATAATCTTCCTTTTCCGTTGCTCCATTCCTTCCTCCAAGTATTGTTCATAACGAGTTTTTGCCAGCAATTTTACTTATCCTTCTATTTGCAGATATGTTGCTCCTGAATATGCAAGTACTGGCATGTTGAATGAACGAAGTGATGTTTATAGTTTTGGAATTCTGATCATGGAAGTTCTTACAGGAAGGAACCCTGTTGATTATAGTCGGCCTCCAGAAGAGGTTTTTTCGATAAATTTCAGTGCTGTGAACCTCCCTGTCATTGCATTCTCTTCATTTGTTTGTAACTAAAAACTCTAAATTTCCAGGTGAATTTGGTAGACTGGCTGAAGAAGATGGTCAGTAACAGGAACCCAGAGGGGGTGCTGGATCCCAAGCTTCCCGAGAAACCAACTTCAAGGGCATTAAAACGAGCCCTTCTTGTAGCCTTACGTTGCACTGATCCTAATGCACAGAAGCGACCTAAAATGGGGCATGTGATACACATGCTTGAAGCTGAAGATTCCCCTTACAAAGAGGTAACATTTAGAAGTTAATTCAACCTCAGTATAGTGCTAGTTAATGCATAATTAGCGAAGTATAACAAGTGTTTCTAGAGGATAATTAAGATGTGACAGTTAAAAGGAACAACATATAATACTCAATCAAAAAACTAAATAACAACCAATCCCTTGTCTTATTATGAAGTTTCCATATGCAGCAGAAAATGGAGTTGTAGCATCAAATGTAGTTTCTAATTTCGTGCCATAGTTGATTTGAACTCTTAATATTTATTTATAATAGGATCGCAGAGCTAGAAAGGATGCAGGACATTCACCCAATGACAGAGTAGGGGATGGGTTGAAAGAGGAGGCAGATGTATCAGTTGATGATCCCAAGCTTGAGACAAGAACGAACCCTCAAATAGAAAAGCAATAAATTTGCTTAGCTGTCTCTTTAATGACCCTAAAACTTTGGCTCCCTTTACAACCTGTCATTGTTGAAGGCCAAACAATCTGCATCCATCTGGCATAAATTACTTCATACATTGCTCTACATTGTTTGCTCCTTCTATACCTCAGCTTTTATAACTCATTCAGATTTCTCTGCATTCTAAGAGATTATTGTAGCTAGAGGTGATGCTCATGTAAATTATATAGCCATATTGTTCTATTCACCCAATAAAACATTATTATGAATGGTTGGATATCATGTTTTGATCTGCTGGAACACTGTTAGATGAAAACTTACTGCATTGTCATTATTCTCTGAACATCACTACAAGTAGTTCGAATTGGAGTAGAGTATATAGTATGACAAATGATTTCCCCTTCAACAGACTGGTCCATCAGTCCCATATTCTGTCAAGTGGGTAGCTGATTTGGAGAGGCTTGGATGGTTCCATTAATGGAGTCACGTTTCTAAGGGGCTGGCCACCATAATTAAACTACTTTGTCTTGTTTACAATACCAAACCCCACCATTCCTCATTCTAGATCTCGCATATCTTCATCTAATCTACACTTTTTGAGATCATAAAAGACTTCTGTCATTACTTACTCCACAAATTTTCAACTTCATTTAGTTACTCCACGAGTCTCAAGATAATCAGAGTGTGCAGTGTGACGAAAAGTGTCTTGAATTCCTTACAATACTAGGAACCAAATTGGCCGAGCCATCTGAACTATCTCTTTACAAAATACATGCATATGTCAAGAAATATATGTTGTAAAACCTGATTAAAAACGCTATCAAAGTAGACTTCCTATGCATGCATATATATATTTATTGTTCTTGAGATGAATTAGACAATGAAGTAAAATTTCTCTGTAATTAAGCAAAAAACAAATACAAGTAAAAGTTCATTCTCGAGCCAGCCTAAGTAAATGACAGGATCCAAATACAAGTAAAATGTCTAGAATAATCAAACTATGATAATTGTTAATAAAATCAACAATTGATTTAATTGATAGAATTACATCAGAAATCAAAAACTCCTTTTGAAAGAATTTTTTCGAATAAACGAATGTAAATTAGGACATGGTTTCCACACTCTTTTTCAATTAACATTTTCACTTTTATCCCTTTAATAATTTATCTTTAAAACATGATGAAACTCCAAAATTTATCATGATTCCATTGTTAAACTATTTATAACTCAACCCAATGACTTCACTCCAAGCTTAAGCTTTTTCTTCAATTACTAGATATACTCTGTATTTTTTTTTCTTTATTCTTGAGTAAGTGTAAGAGGATTCATTATTACCTCAGTTTATTTGTTTTAATTTTAATAGTTAATTGTAGTTATAATTTCTTTAATTTTACTTTAAAAAATCATATAGTATATTTTAAAAATCTTAATAATTGTTTAAAAATTAAAAAAATCAAAATATGTCATCAAATCTAATCCAACTCAATTAAAAATAAGTTGAATTGAATTAAGGAAAAAACAAAATAAAATCTTTTCATCGAGTCCTATTATAGATTTACCAAAGTTACACCCTGCTATGGGGAAATATTCGAATTCAATACTATTCATGAGACAAAATTTCTAATTTTAAATCTCATAAGCCCCTTTATTAAAATGAAAGTAGTGTAAAACAAATTTGGAACTAAAAGAAAAAAAAAATTGCTTGTGTAAAAATATGATCATTATAACTTAAAGCTGCGATCTAATTGATTAGAAAAAGACTTCAATAATTAGTTTAGTTTTGCAAGAAAAAATAAAACACAAAAAGAATCAATACTTTAAGAAAGGATCTTTAATTGCATCTATTTGTTTGGTTTGAACTCATTTAATTTAAGACAATGATATTTTAGCTTCTATTTTTTTTTAATTCATTTCACACTATTTTTCAATTTATTTTTTTCTTTACAAATAAAAAATTTAGTTTTTAAATAATTATTTAACTTCTAAAAATAGGTTGTCAAATGACTTGCCTAGATGTGAAAAAATCATTTTCCTTTACTCTGTTATAGAGTCATTCTCTGCAAAAGTAAGTGTTGAGCTTGATTATTGATCTGGTTTAGTAACTTGTCATGGATAATTATGCTATTCGTTGAAAAAGAAATATATTAATAGTTGACTTTTATTAAAAATCTAACATGTTATTTATTGTGAGAAGACATCAAATTATTTTAAGAATTAAATTTTAAGTTTAATTTAATTTTATAAAATTGTTTTGTAAGATAAATTTGGTGTTGACATGTATATTCTAAATTAACCTTACGTAGATGATGGAGATTTCAACCGTCGACTAAAAATGAAATGAAAAGAGCATATGATGCAGGAAGTTTATGCTTGAACTGCAGCAGATCCTTTTTCGATGGCGTTCGTATCTTTCATTTTTACTTTTACTTGCTTTGAAATTCGTTAGCCACATTTTATGGAATGGAATCACACATACACAGGTGTTCTTGAACCTGACTCAGCTTGTTTCAGTGTTGCAAATTATACTCATGAAAACGTTGAGAAGCTGCCATGTGTGCGAGATGAGAAACGATATTTTCTCAAAAATATTTAATTTAATAGCAAATTGCTGAAAAGAAACTCTTTTGTCTTTGATTTGGGACTATTTGTTGTTAAAATTGTCACTTCTCTCCAAAACGCATCAAACACTCACGTTTTGCATGCATGTAAGGCAAAGCCATAACAACACCTCTATATATATGTGCATTTTGATTCAATGGGTTCTCACTCACGCTTGCTTCAACCTAAGAAGTTTGTTTCTTGATTATATATAGAAAAAGCTTAGTTTATTGAACAACACAAGATCAACCATGGCAACGAAAGAGCCCAAGAAGAAAAATTTGGGTCGGAAAATACCCGGACCCACAAACCCGATGGTGACTCCTTTGTTGACGGATCAATACCAATTCACCATGGCTTATGCCTACTGGAAATCTGGCAAGCATCAAGAACGTGCTGTGTGCGTGATTCAACCCTATACTAAATCTTCATCATGATCTTTTTTGGTTTGGATGGGTGCAGTTTGATATATTCGTTTGTTTATGATGTGATTCGCTTGTGAGAGTAATTTTTGTTTCAGGTTTGATTTGTATTTTCGGAAGAACCCCTTCGGAGGGGAATACACCGTCTTCGCTGGTTTGGAAGAATGCGTGAGATTCATTGCTAATTTCAAGCTCACCGAGGAACAAATTGATTATATCAAAGATAATTTGTCTGTTTCATGTGAGGTAAACGTGTGCGACACTTTCGTTTCAGTGTTCGATCATTTCACTCTAACAGGACATAAAAGAGAGCATGTTTAAGGTTGAACAGATAGATTACCATTGTCTGGAGTAAACTACATCGCCAAAATAGGTCTTACAAACATTTTTTTCTCATTTAAAAAATTTTAGCAACACACTCTAAAACCTTTTTTCTGGCAGAGTCTCTTATATGGAGTGATCTTGTTATAAGTCTTACTATATACACAAGTTTCTTTTGACGCTTCTGTGATTTTTCTGGTATATTTTTTGTTCAAAATAAATAGCAACTTTGGTAATTATTGACTAAATCATAGGAAGGCTTCCTTGACTATCTTAGAGGAATTGACTGTTCTGATGTGGAGGTGTATGCTCTTCCCGAAGGATCAGTTGTTTTTGCTAAGGTACCCTTGTTGAGAGTTGAAGGTCCGCTTGCAGTGAGTACCTGCTACTATTAAATGCTCTCTTTCCGTTTACATCACTTTCCAATTCTTGTTTCTTGCATTAACTTGACTTTCTACTCTTCAGGTTGTTCAATTGCTAGAAACACCTTTTATCAATCTCGTTAATTTTGCATCATTAGTTTCTACTAATGCTGCAAGGCATCGTTTTGTCGCTGGAAAATCAAAAACTCTGCTTGAGTTTGGACTACGAAGGGCTCAGGTTTCTAAGTCCTTCTCAAAAAATAATTGATGAATTTTTTTTTTAATTAAATTCTTTCCTCAATGATATATCAAAAAAAATATTATTTTCAACGTAGGGGCCTGATGGTGGAATTGGTGCATCAAAGTACAGTTACATTGGGGGATTTGATGCAACAAGGTACTATCTATCAAACAACTTCAATTCTAGTTATGTTTGCCAATTGGCATTATAAGGTTCAAAGGCTCGTCATATTATATATATATACCTAGAACTAGCAGTTATCATGACTGAGATTTTTTGTGGACTATTTTTTTTGTAATGCCAACAGAGTGTGCTAGTTATGACTATTAATTAAATATATTTCTAAGATTTGTTAACTCGAGGAAAAAATATAAGATGTTTCTTCACTGTTAATTTAAGATGGCGGGGCACGATTTTGGCAAGATGGCATGTAAACTTATTATGTTATCGTTACTTGACTATCAAGTTAAAATGACATTCCACTTTTAGCTATTTGTTTGGGTTGAGTGAATTTTTTGTATCTGACCTTTGGTATTGTGTAACTTTGCTTTTTCGTATGCCACATCAATAGCAACGTTGCAGCAGGAATGTTATTTGGGATTCCCCTTCGTGGTACTCAGTCCCATGCATTCGTTAGCTCCTATATGGTATGTGCACATTTCATTGAAATTCTTGACATATTCTGATTGTGTTGATGATGAGTCCCTGTTTGGTGGGAATATATCCTACTTTTTTCACCAAGCCAACCTTATATCTCTACATAGGTGTACCTGTTAATCAGAAGGGACATTGTCTATTTTATATTTATGTCCTGATTCAGCAATTCATGAAAAACTAAATGCAGCGCAATTAGTTCAGAGATTTATGAACCTCTTTGGAGATCGTAAAACCCAAATATAAAACTGCAAGGATCAAATTTCTTATAAGATCAAGATATGAGAATGATATTATAAAATCATAGAAGAAAGGAAAAGATGAGGAAGATCCTCTCATATTATAATAATAGACTTTCAGTCAAGAATCCTCTCTTTATCATTATGATTTCTGTTATCAGTACATTTATGCTTTGTTATGACTTTAGTCATTCTCTGATGTATTTGATTTGCTTACTCTTATGCGTATCTTGTGCGACCGGTGTTAAGCAGAGCCTTGACGAGATTAAAGACAAAGCGCTTCGTAAAAAAGATGGTTCAAGTACATGTCAAGATTTTGTTAGCTTAGTTGGAGACTGGCTGAGAAAAATTGAGGTGACTTGATCTAAATCCTTTAGAAATACTTTTTTAATCTGTGGTTGATAATTTGTGGTTTGGTGTCATCCTGATGACAGTTACTTCCAAGTCCACGTATATTTAAGCGTCAGTTCATGTCAAAGTTGTAAATGATGTCCATCATGGATCATGGAATAGGATTAAGAAGATACAAAAAATGGATACTGGCATTATTAGTTGTATGGAATGTTTTGTTGAAAATTTATTCTGAATTTGGAATTCTTAGCATATTTGGGGCTATTAAAGTGCTTAATAAATTATGGCCGTGTGAGTTTTCACAATTTCCATTGTGTATTGAGTTTTCTAGACTTGTAGACTTGATTTTTAATTGACTGAACATTTCAAATTTTCTTTCCCTTTTAGATGTATTCTTTCTCTTGTTATACTCCAACATCCTCAGTTTCTTCCATTTCTCCACATGAACATTGTTATAGCATATATTTGTGCTTTACCAACAACAATAATCTATACTGATTTGTGACTGTGCAGCGGTCGGATTCACTTCGTGGCAATTCTGCTGACACCAATAAAAGTGAGCTGGCAGCATTGACATCGTATGCATTAGCATTTCCTGATAACTTTCTTGCCTTAGTAGACACTTACGACGTAAGTGTATAATATTTTCTTATTTTCTTATACCGATATTTCTTGGTATTACACATTTTGTTAGGCATATGAATGGTCATGACAAATGATGGAGTGCGTATGAGAGAATAGTAGGCTAATGAAAGCACCATTTATAAGGTGAATGATAATTATTAACCACTATTCTAGTTCTACAACTAAAAGATATGAAATTAACAATTCAGATTCTTTATTATAATGAAAGAGGGATACAAAATATTTTTAACAAACAAGTCAAACAAATTCCTATCAAACTCTGTTCTTGAACCTGCTAAGGATATTAATTGTCTCTGTTGCGCCTCACAACCGTAGATAATTTTAGAACCATTTTGATCATCAATGTCCAATGGTTGAGTAAATCTTGTTTATCCTTATCCTTATTCTGTCTTTTGCGAACATGTTAGTTCAGGTTTAGTTTAACTATTTTTGCACATGGTGACACTTACATGTGTTAACAGGTTATGAGGAGTGGAGTTCCTAACTTTTGTGCAGTTGCATTAGCTCTCAGTGACTTAGGGTACGTCAAGAAGTTTTCCCTGCATACTTATCATAATCACTTGATGATGTAATTGTTATTCATTGCTGAGTTTAGGTGATGTTCTGAGCAGATACAAAGCAATTGGCATTAGGCTGGATTCTGGCGACCTTGCATATCTGTCTTGTGAGATCAGGAAGTTGTTTTGCTCCATTGAGAAGGAATTTGGATTGCCCGGTTTCGGAAAGATGAGTATCACAGCTAGCAATGACCTTAATGAGGAAACAATAGATGCTTTAAACAAACAGGTAAGTTCGTTTACAAACTGGAATGGTAGCTTATATGCTATTGATTCAAGAAAAATGACGGTTTAGATTGAAGCACAATGTTGCTAAAACAATAGTCTATACCTGAATTCATAGTTTTTTTTTTATCCTAGTTCTTTTATTGGATTGCATCTTTTTCTGCAGGGTCATCAGATTGATGCCTATGGAATTGGTACATACCTGGTTACGTGTTATGCTCAAGCTGCTTTAGGTGTTGTTTTCAAGCTGGTTGAAATTAATAATAAACCTCGTATCAAACTTTCTGAAGCTGTCTCAAAGGTTTGAACACTAAACAAAATATTTAACTGGGACCATTAATTTGCATTTAATTATAATCTTATCACCCTTTTGCTATTTTATCTGTTTTAGGTCACTATTCCATGTAAGAAGCGAATATATAGATTGTATGGGAAAGAAGGTTATGCTTTGGTAGACATAATGACAGGAGAAGATGAACCCCCTCCAAAGGTATTTTCTTGTCTATCAGTTACTGCAAATTATTACAAGGTTCAGAACCGTCACATTCTCTTAAGTCACAATTAATCTTCCCATCATATCTAATTAAGATTTTAATTCATGAGAAAAAATAAATAAAACATAGTAGTCACGTGTAGACAAAATAAGACTACAGTGGTCTTATATCATGAAAGTGTAATTTACAAATGTAATCATTTATATTTTTTAAGAAAATTTCATGATAGGTGGGAGAAAGAATCCTGTGCCGCCATCCCTTTCGAGAATCCAAAAGAGCATATGTGGTGCCTCAGAAAATTGAGGAGCTTCTAAGGTGTTACTGTGCTGGGAATTCAGGTATGAACCTATCAAAATTCAGTTATGCCACGGGAAAAAATAGGACCTTTGCCATACTTTACCTATATTTCTTTGGCTTTAACACTGTTTAGGGCATCTCATGACATTATTAATGGACTTAAACCTACAGTGCAATGATCCTCTGGTCCTTAAAACTCAATAAGGGTTTAAATAATCTTATAATATGCTCTGTTATTTGTTGAAGATAAAAACGAAGAAATTCTACCCCCTTTAAAGGACATTAGAGAGCGATGCATCCAGCAACTTGAGCAAATGCGACCTGACCACATGAGGAGACTAAATCCAACTCCCTATAAGGTATGATGCTTTATTATTTAATAATCTTCCTTTTAAAATGCTTTTAACACTTTTACTTCAAATTCTGGTCAGGTTAGTGTGAGTGCAAAGTTATATGACTTCATTCATTTCTTGTGGGTCAATGAGGCACCTGTTGGAGAGCTGCGATAACAAGGTAAATAAATGGAGATGCACCTGATTAATTAATGGAGGCGAAAGAAATTGTAATAACATTTGCATTCTTGTGATTAACTATCTATAATCATATATGGATGTGCTTACATCTTTCTAGGCTGTATACCTATTTTTGTGCTTCAATTTTGTATTTAATTACATTTAAAAAAATTAATAGTTCAATCTTAAAATTAATATCTTATATTTAACGATAAAAAACATAAAAGAAATAATCGAAATAAATTATTCACCCACTTGTACAACCTTTGGATCCAAACGTTGTGGCGTTGTCTCGTTTGGAAAAATACATCACTTAATCATAAAACTATTCAACATTCTTAAAAAGAATCAATTATTAAATTTTTTATAATAAAAAAATTACCCTAAATTGTAAAATTACATTAGGCACACTGTAATCAATTGAGGAGCTTTGAAAATAATAAAGATAAACGTAAACATATTTACAGAACATGTGAAATTGTTCTATGAACATCTACAGCTACACAATCAAGTAAATATTAGTATAGAAGATTGATAAGAGCCCAGTTCTGCCAGCATGATTTGCTCAATCACGCTTGATAATCTATTTATAATTCATCATCACTCTGCTAAAAAAAACCCCTGCTTCGGGTGGACACCAAACCTGCAGATTAAACTGATATGACCAGATCCTCCAGTCTCACCCAACCAAAGGCACAACGGTCCCTGATCTTCTGCGCTGTTGAAGCTGCTGGATCAATCATCGGCCTAATTTTTATCAACTCTTTCTCTATAGTTATTCTAGATTTGGCCTCCATCTGGAAGAGTCACGTCCAAAAACAGATGATTAATAATGTTGAACCAAGTTGTATAGTTAGTTAATCATCATTCATTTATTTAACTCAAACATCAATCTTGTCGTATCATTTAGTGAGTACCTTTTCTATACAAGAAACAGTGTCAAACACGTGGCAAAAATACGAGAGCTGCTTGTACAAGTCTGCTTCAGTGTACTGAAAAATCATATAAACATTTAGTATATTATAGTACGCGTATGAAAGCACTTGTTAAAATTCAACAAGTTCGTGGAGTGAAACCTTTCTAAGCAGACGACCATTGCAGCGAGGATAATTTGGACAAACAGTTCCTCTCTCGGAATCACCAACCAACCGAAGGCTGATACTTCGCGTTGTATGCTTACACGTTTCATCATCACACTGGATATGCCAAAACAGACAAGGAAAATGACACTTAAACTTTCACAGGCTGCTAATTTTCATAATATATTTAGAGAGGTGACTTACCGTTAATAAACCTTTATAGTACATCAAAACAAACATATCTGCTTGCCTTTTGACCTATGAAGTATAACGAAGTGTAAGTATATTCTGGGAATAATATTCTGTGCTAAATCAAATCAAAAAACATGTTAGATGTTACTTTAAATGTTCTATTTTGAAGTTCATTCCAGAATCTGAAACTGGTTTCAAAACTCTAAGCGCACTNTTAAAGACAAAGCGCTTCGTAAAAAAGATGGTTCAAGTACATGTCAAGATTTTGTTAGCTTAGTTGGAGACTGGCTGAGAAAAATTGAGGTGACTTGATCTAAATCCTTTAGAAATACTTTTTTAATCTGTGGTTGATAATTTGTGGTTTGGTGTCATCCTGATGACAGTTACTTCCAAGTCCACGTATATTTAAGCGTCAGTTCATGTCAAAGTTGTAAATGATGTCCATCATGGATCATGGAATAGGATTAAGAAGATACAAAAAATGGATACTGGCATTATTAGTTGTATGGAATGTTTTGTTGAAAATTTATTCTGAATTTGGAATTCTTAGCATATTTGGGGCTATTAAAGTGCTTAATAAATTATGGCCGTGTGAGTTTTCACAATTTCCATTGTGTATTGAGTTTTCTAGACTTGTAGACTTGATTTTTAATTGACTGAACATTTCAAATTTTCTTTCCCTTTTAGATGTATTCTTTCTCTTGTTATACTCCAACATCCTCAGTTTCTTCCATTTCTCCACATGAACATTGTTATAGCATATATTTGTGCTTTACCAACAACAATAATCTATACTGATTTGTGACTGTGCAGCGGTCGGATTCACTTCGTGGCAATTCTGCTGACACCAATAAAAGTGAGCTGGCAGCATTGACATCGTATGCATTAGCATTTCCTGATAACTTTCTTGCCTTAGTAGACACTTACGACGTAAGTGTATAATATTTTCTTATTTTCTTATACCGATATTTCTTGGTATTACACATTTTGTTAGGCATATGAATGGTCATGACAAATGATGGAGTGCGTATGAGAGAATAGTAGGCTAATGAAAGCACCATTTATAAGGTGAATGATAATTATTAACCACTATTCTAGTTCTACAACTAAAAGATATGAAATTAACAATTCAGATTCTTTATTATAATGAAAGAGGGATACAAAATATTTTTAACAAACAAGTCAAACAAATTCCTATCAAACTCTGTTCTTGAACCTGCTAAGGATATTAATTGTCTCTGTTGCGCCTCACAACCGTAGATAATTTTAGAACCATTTTGATCATCAATGTCCAATGGTTGAGTAAATCTTGTTTATCCTTATCCTTATTCTGTCTTTTGCGAACATGTTAGTTCAGGTTTAGTTTAACTATTTTTGCACATGGTGACACTTACATGTGTTAACAGGTTATGAGGAGTGGAGTTCCTAACTTTTGTGCAGTTGCATTAGCTCTCAGTGACTTAGGGTACGTCAAGAAGTTTTCCCTGCATACTTATCATAATCACTTGATGATGTAATTGTTATTCATTGCTGAGTTTAGGTGATGTTCTGAGCAGATACAAAGCAATTGGCATTAGGCTGGATTCTGGCGACCTTGCATATCTGTCTTGTGAGATCAGGAAGTTGTTTTGCTCCATTGAGAAGGAATTTGGATTGCCCGGTTTCGGAAAGATGAGTATCACAGCTAGCAATGACCTTAATGAGGAAACAATAGATGCTTTAAACAAACAGGTAAGTTCGTTTACAAACTGGAATGGTAGCTTATATGCTATTGATTCAAGAAAAATGACGGTTTAGATTGAAGCACAATGTTGCTAAAACAATAGTCTATACCTGAATTCATAGTTTTTTTTTTATCCTAGTTCTTTTATTGGATTGCATCTTTTTCTGCAGGGTCATCAGATTGATGCCTATGGAATTGGTACATACCTGGTTACGTGTTATGCTCAAGCTGCTTTAGGTGTTGTTTTCAAGCTGGTTGAAATTAATAATAAACCTCGTATCAAACTTTCTGAAGCTGTCTCAAAGGTTTGAACACTAAACAAAATATTTAACTGGGACCATTAATTTGCATTTAATTATAATCTTATCACCCTTTTGCTATTTTATCTGTTTTAGGTCACTATTCCATGTAAGAAGCGAATATATAGATTGTATGGGAAAGAAGGTTATGCTTTGGTAGACATAATGACAGGAGAAGATGAACCCCCTCCAAAGGTATTTTCTTGTCTATCAGTTACTGCAAATTATTACAAGGTTCAGAACCGTCACATTCTCTTAAGTCACAATTAATCTTCCCATCATATCTAATTAAGATTTTAATTCATGAGAAAAAATAAATAAAACATAGTAGTCACGTGTAGACAAAATAAGACTACAGTGGTCTTATATCATGAAAGTGTAATTTACAAATGTAATCATTTATATTTTTTAAGAAAATTTCATGATAGGTGGGAGAAAGAATCCTGTGCCGCCATCCCTTTCGAGAATCCAAAAGAGCATATGTGGTGCCTCAGAAAATTGAGGAGCTTCTAAGGTGTTACTGTGCTGGGAATTCAGGTATGAACCTATCAAAATTCAGTTATGCCACGGGAAAAAATAGGACCTTTGCCATACTTTACCTATATTTCTTTGGCTTTAACACTGTTTAGGGCATCTCATGACATTATTAATGGACTTAAACCTACAGTGCAATGATCCTCTGGTCCTTAAAACTCAATAAGGGTTTAAATAATCTTATAATATGCTCTGTTATTTGTTGAAGATAAAAACGAAGAAATTCTACCCCCTTTAAAGGACATTAGAGAGCGATGCATCCAGCAACTTGAGCAAATGCGACCTGACCACATGAGGAGACTAAATCCAACTCCCTATAAGGTATGATGCTTTATTATTTAATAATCTTCCTTTTAAAATGCTTTTAACACTTTTACTTCAAATTCTGGTCAGGTTAGTGTGAGTGCAAAGTTATATGACTTCATTCATTTCTTGTGGGTCAATGAGGCACCTGTTGGAGAGCTGCGATAACAAGGTAAATAAATGGAGATGCACCTGATTAATTAATGGAGGCGAAAGAAATTGTAATAACATTTGCATTCTTGTGATTAACTATCTATAATCATATATGGATGTGCTTACATCTTTCTAGGCTGTATACCTATTTTTGTGCTTCAATTTTGTATTTAATTACATTTAAAAAAATTAATAGTTCAATCTTAAAATTAATATCTTATATTTAACGATAAAAAACATAAAAGAAATAATCGAAATAAATTATTCACCCACTTGTACAACCTTTGGATCCAAACGTTGTGGCGTTGTCTCGTTTGGAAAAATACATCACTTAATCATAAAACTATTCAACATTCTTAAAAAGAATCAATTATTAAATTTTTTATAATAAAAAAATTACCCTAAATTGTAAAATTACATTAGGCACACTGTAATCAATTGAGGAGCTTTGAAAATAATAAAGATAAACGTAAACATATTTACAGAACATGTGAAATTGTTCTATGAACATCTACAGCTACACAATCAAGTAAATATTAGTATAGAAGATTGATAAGAGCCCAGTTCTGCCAGCATGATTTGCTCAATCACGCTTGATAATCTATTTATAATTCATCATCACTCTGCTAAAAAAAACCCCTGCTTCGGGTGGACACCAAACCTGCAGATTAAACTGATATGACCAGATCCTCCAGTCTCACCCAACCAAAGGCACAACGGTCCCTGATCTTCTGCGCTGTTGAAGCTGCTGGATCAATCATCGGCCTAATTTTTATCAACTCTTTCTCTATAGTTATTCTAGATTTGGCCTCCATCTGGAAGAGTCACGTCCAAAAACAGATGATTAATAATGTTGAACCAAGTTGTATAGTTAGTTAATCATCATTCATTTATTTAACTCAAACATCAATCTTGTCGTATCATTTAGTGAGTACCTTTTCTATACAAGAAACAGTGTCAAACACGTGGCAAAAATACGAGAGCTGCTTGTACAAGTCTGCTTCAGTGTACTGAAAAATCATATAAACATTTAGTATATTATAGTACGCGTATGAAAGCACTTGTTAAAATTCAAAAAGTTCGTGGAGTGAAACCTTTCTAAGCAGACGACCATTGCAGCGAGGATAATTTGGACAAACAGTTCCTCTCTCGGAATCACCAACCAACCGAAGGCTGATACTTCGCGTTGTATGCTTACACGTTTCATCATCACACTGGATATGCCAAAACAGACAAGGAAAATGACACTTAAACTTTCACAGGCTGCTAATTTTCATAATATATTTAGAGAGGTGACTTACCGTTAATAAACCTTTATAGTACATCAAAACAAACATATCTGCTTGCCTTTTGACCTATGAAGTATAACGAAGTGTAAGTATATTCTGGGAATAATATTCTGTGCTAAATCAAATCAAAAAACATGTTAGATGTTACTTTAAATGTTCTATTTTGAAGTTCATTCCAGAATCTGAAACTGGTTTCAAAACTCTAAGCGCACTTAAACAACAATACTTTTAGAGATGCCTCGAATTAGTCAAACCTGATTCGCTATCATCGCTGGAGAAATTTTGACATCTTCGGGGCATTTAGGACAACACAGCTTACGCCAGAAATTGAAGTCAGATTCCTCGGTGGATACGCTGGTTGTCATTCCACTTCCCAACAAGCAGCAAATAGATTTAGAGACGGGTGGGCAGTTAAATGTACCAGAGCAGCTGGGGCATGACAACACCAACGGCTCACATCCCCGATACCTGAAATTATTTTATCACATCCAATCCATGAATTAATAATTATGAATAGGGAAATTGTTAGGATATAGGGTATTTGGGGATATAAGGATATAATGGGAAATGGGATTAGGATAGAAGGTAGAGGAACTGTATAAATAGATTGTTTGGATAGTTAGAAGGGACTTTTGGAGAGATCTTTGTTGACCGGTATTGACCTGTGAAGAGGGTTAAGCCTCTGTATTCAGTTGTACAGAACATTCTTTCTGTGAATAATATTAGGTTTTTCCTATCTTTCTTGTGTCTTTTGGTGAGAAAGAGAGTTCTTGATTAGGTTCCCAAATTAGGAACCTAACAGAAATCATCAGTAAAATCCATTGATCATAACACAGCTTTAGCAAGAATCTACCAAAACCTAAATTAATAAAGCTAAAATACGGTAAAAATATTTTTTATAGCTTGTTGAAATCTCTGCAGAGTATACTAAATTTCAGAATTGAAACAGAAAGGCTCAAGCAGTAATCATGAGACAAAAAAAACCATACTCACGGATATCTACATGTAAAATTCATATGATATCCTCGATGGATACATGCCGGTTATGAACACGAATATTTTATTACTCACTTATTCACAAGACGGATAGGAGTATAAAGACATACAAACCAGCAAATACCCACTACTGGTTAATTATTTTTAGTAAATTTTATTTGAATTAAAAAAAATCAAGAAATAAAAACAAAGTTACTAGTAACAGATATTAACCATTCAAGAATAACCCCTTGTCATTCCTACCAAGTATCTATATTAACATTGGTAGCGCATATCTGCATTTAAGAGATTTTTGAAAATTAATGGGATCAGAATTTAAAAACCAAGACATACCTCTCTTCATCATTAGCAGCAGACAAGAGTAAACTGCTAGAATCATCATTAAAAGCTTCACTTGATTTATGATGAAACTGTAAAACAATATAGTTTTCCAATTTAGATAACTTATACAAAAAATAAAAGTAAATACCTGGATCTGAATGCTGAGACAAACTAGGAAGTATATTTTACCTTTGAGGAGTCAAGACCTAAGCAATCAGCCAGTCTTTCTGGGCTTGTTCCCTGAATTGATGCACAGAGGCGTGATACTACGGGATGGATCTACAAAACCAAAACATAAAATACTCAATTAGAGTACAGTACTCGGTAACCATTGTTATTTATAAAATTAACCACTGCATTACCTGTTGTGATAAATAGTAATCAATGTCAATCAGCCATGTCCCTTGTTCCCGTTTAAGTTCTTCAGGATGTCTAGCACGTTGAGCAATGCCACCAGCACTGCCTGAACTGCCACCCTAATCAAAGCAGAACGTAATATTAAAAATACAAAAGTGAGAAAGAACATAACCAACGTCGAGTACTTCATCAAAATACATTTCCCAGGGTTACACTATTTGTCCTTTGATAGGAAGTGAATTACTAAATGACAAACCTGTTCATAACAAATTATATACGGGATTGTATCACCAACAGAACAGCCAGAAGAGTAACCTTGTTGCTTCAATCTTTGTGCCACCTATACGTTGTGATCAAGAAAAGCATCCTCAGAAGTCAGAATCAAGTAGGTCGTAGTAAAAGAACATAGATCAGACTATTTGAAGTAACAAATGAAAACAGCTTGGACTAACAAGAACATGTGGCTGGTTCTTGGCATCAGGATAAGCTTCAGGAGGTTTAGTCAAAGTCTTCGTAATGACATATTTCTCTAATGGTACTTGTCCGTTCCTCATTTCTTCTTGTACCTGTATTAAGATTAACATCGACCGGTTTGCAGGAAAAACAAACCTCAAACTCCAATATAAAAATCATTAATTAAAATGAAAGGCAAAATTTACATGACAAAATCCCCAATGAACTTCAATTTCTTCAGAAACGGTTGATAACTAGATCAACCAAAAAAAAGTATTGCACATCATCGATTATTTTTCAAAATCCCCAATGAACTTCAATTTCTTCAGAAACGGTTGATAACTAGATCAACCAAAAAAAAGTATTGCACATCATCGATTAATCCCATCAATCCCCAATGAACTTCAATTTCTTCAGAAACGGTTGATAACTAGATCAACCAAAAAAAAAGTATTGCACATCATCGATTAATCCCATCAATCCCCAATGAACTTCAATTTCTTCAGAAACGGTTGATAACTAGATCAACCAAAAAAAAGTATTCCACATCATCGATTAATCCCATCAAATGTGGATTATACACCCAAGCACTCAAGTTTTTGGACCACCCTATAAATAGCATTCCACTCTTTGGGCAGAAAGTAATGAGCCCAAAGCTCCAGGAAGAATTTTTCTAATCACATGGTAAGTTATTATAAACAAATGTCTGATACTTCAAGAAATCACAATTTACCTTCATGAGCGAGTTGTGAATTGACTCCACTACATCTTCACATGACCTGTGAGCATGGGAACCATAATATAACTACTTAGTAAAAACTTGAGTGATTATGCATCTAGGCAGGCAAATTGGCAAAAAGGTAAGTAACATACCCTCCAGACAAAATTTGAGTCAAGCAAAAATCTCCTAATTCTTTAGCTAATAAGCTCCAGTCACGACGAACAATGTCAAGACCTTTACGTTCAATCACCTTCACCATGCAATAACCTCACTGTATGATCTTATGATTGGTAATGTAAAAGAATAAGTTATCACAAGCATACCTCATATGGGGTGCCATCTTTAAACAGCAACTTTACAGCTGCATACTTCTTTTTCTTGAGAAGCAGCATTCTTTTATATAAACCATCAAGATCAATTTCCAAACATTTATATTTCTTATTGACCTGATGACAAATTAAAGCAGAAAACACATCACGAGAAGATAGCTGAAAAAAGAAAAGGAGGGAAAACTGCCATTTATTCTTGAAATATGGAAATATGCCAGAATTATCTGTAGTTGTAAACAGTGCAAACTAAACTTGCTAAGACAATGTTGCAGTCGTGTCCAAATTAAATCACCTAAAAAAGAATCTTGAAATGTATTTAACAAGGGGATAACAATGCTGAAAAATTATGGTGTTAGCTCTAAAACACCATGTAGCACGGCATAAGAACAGAGGAAAGGATATTCAAATCTAAACCACCAAGAATTAAGAGATTTTCACAGCTAATAGTCAAACCTTACCTCTTGAATAACTTTTACAGCAATTTTATTAGCTTCCTCAATATCATCCAGCCCACTGTAAATCATTATTGAATCCGTGTCGCCATAGATCACCTATAAAGAAAAAAAACAATGCACAAATTAAGAGCCTAATATTCACCTCCAGTTACATCA